CATGGACAAGATGTTTTGGCTCGGGCCATTGGCACTACGCATTAGCAAGTCCACACGGGCGTCTCCATAGGCGAGTAACAGTTGGCCGTACTGGAGTTTATCAAACTCAAAGTCTCCCCGAAGCAAGTCGTGATAGTGCTGATGAAATCTCTGGGTACAGAAGAAAGCATCAAGCATAGAATAATGTTGCTCTGTAAGAAGACCGGAGAAGTTTGAGAGGACATCTGATAGAAGTTCAATAGTCTCCAGGACAGGCTCTTCTGCAGCCAAAGATTCGATGACAAGCGTGATCAAGGGCCTCAAAGCATCAACAAAGTCCTTATCTCGAGCAGATGCCTTTTGAACAAATAAAACCCAGGCCTAGGGAGAAGTGAAAGTCTTAATATCGAGGCAACATGCGCTCAATGCTAGGTTGAAACTATCTTACCTGAAGACATTTGATTGAATCTTCGTGGATTCTTCGCTGCGCGAGAAATGCACTTCCCATGAGCGCAACCGCATCAGAAGAATTTTGGCGGATAACGTTATAAAGGCCAATGCTTTTCGAAAAAAAAGAAAAACAGTATTAGCAACTCGATGGTACGAACGGGAATTTGCGAGTTCTTACTTTTTTTCTGAGTTTAAATCCAACTTTGAAGCTTCTTCGACAACATTGCCCACTACCCAAAGAGCAGCTATCAGCTGAGCATTGCCAAGGTTTGCTAAAGCGGGCCTGATGTCGGGGAGTTCAGCAGTTCCAAAATCTAGGTGGGCAGGCTGCCCCGAAGCCAGGCATACCACCAAGTGGCGTACGAACGGCGTCCATATGTGATGGAAATGGACTAGGAACGTGGCGAGGGCAGATGCAAGCTTCCTAGTGACAAGTGGAGCTGTCCCTTGAGAACATGAATCAAGATACCAACCAACAAGATTGGCGAGAAGCTCTCTGGCACTATCGTCACTCAACGCATCACTAGAAACAGAGTATAAGCACTTGTGTGATTACCAGCAACCCGGGTGGAGGCTTAGCTGACCTTTCAGTGTTGAGCTTAATAATGATAATAAGGGCACCGTGGAACTTGACTTTCTGATCCGGTCTGGTCAGTAAGTCGCGGGCAATAGACCAGGCCTGCGGTGAGCCTTGTAGCTGGGTAAGTGATGCCTGGGTGGAAGCAATCACATCTGGCGAGTTCGCCTGGTAGAGTGCAAGGATAAGCTACCGATTTGTTAGAGATATTTTGCCTTGTGGAAGGTTGAGGCTGGGAACTACCCGATCATGCTACATACAGATTCAACCTGCTCGACGGTCAAAGGTGGTGCTTGACTGTCCATATTGAAATGCCTGCTAGCATCATGTGCGAAGTTGTAGAAAGAACCGGGCTTTTCACCGATCCGGCTGCTGGTTGGAAACGGCAAGCCAAATTAAGGATCGACGAGGAACTGGGTGTGCCTAAGTATTTCGTTTGGTACCAGGGTGCAAGGTTTCCTGAGTTTTGGAGGGGAGGCCGGGGGGGGATTACGGATGGGTGATGAAGGGAAGTTTGTAGTTGGGAAGTAAAGTCGGTGGTGAGCGGAGCCAGGCTGGGCAGTAGCCAGTAGCGGGATGGGATGGTAACAGATACCAGCACAACGCAATACATGCACCATAGGTAGCATATCATACAAGGCACATAACGAGGATGAGATTCTTCACGTTTCTGTGTTTGCGTATGATTTTTTCTCGCTGAAAACCCATTCAATGCTACATAAAGCCACTCCAGCACCAGCAACTGGGGGTTTGGAAACGTTCATTGCGACGCCACTGGCGAAGCAAGCATGGCGCAGCCTACCCTATAGGAGGCTATGCAGGTATTCTCCTGCCAACATCCCGACCTAACCACAATATACCCTCTTTCAGGTACAGAATATAGAAGACTTAGAGTTGTAGGCTTGGAATTCACTTGTTGAATTAGCCCTGAGCGCGCATCCTCTGCTCAGGGTAAAAATATCGAGGTATCTGGCCAAAGTTCCAAGTACTTTTACATTTGCCTAGAATACCTAAGTAAGTCTGTATGGTTCGGGCAGCAACTCTCTTTTGCGGAACATGACTTGCCCGAGCCTTTTGTCTCTAAAAGCGTTATAGTGTAGGATGTCGTTCATTTTGGCTCCCCAGAGAGGCCTGACGCTATCTGTTCCCTTCTCGCCCCCCAGGTTACTCGCACATATCAGAAAGAGAAGGCTTGATGGTAGTGTGGGCACAGTCGGTATTGCTCTCGACTTGCACCCCGCTATTCACGTAGGGCCCTGAAGCCAGTACCATTGCTTTGACCCCTCAACCCTCCAAGGGTCGCTTCCACCTTACCTTACCTAATGACTGGCTGGTTTCAATGGAGCCTTTCGTTGTGCTGCGATTTAATAGGCGGGTAGCTAACGCTTTTCGTTCCCCCACCACATACCTAGCGGGCAGGTCCATAGGTCTCAACTCCTCATTCGCAAGCAGGCAATTCATAGGTATGAATGACTTGTCCAAGTCTTGGAGTCCCCTAACTCAGGTACCTTGAGTGGATAGGCAGTACACCAACACCGCTTGATCGGCACAGAACCATCGAGCTAATGCCAGGTTCTGGGATGTAGCTGGGCAGGCTCGCAAGTACTGCAGTTAGGAAGCTTGCTCCAGCATGCCATCAGTAATGCACCCTTGCGCTTTCCCCAAGGTATGATGTGTGCCTTCGGACCCCAATTCTCCCAGCAGCCACCTCACGATTACCATCCCCTGGCTCTCCCATTAACAAAACGCACAAACTGGGTTGACTGACCTTTTCAGCTTACCTTCTTCAAGGCTGCACTACAACCGTGCTGCCTTGCATCCTCGCTCTTCCACCTGTCTTTGAATTATCCCACCAGAGTCACACGACCCCTCTCAACCGTCATTGGAGCCATGGCCACAACCAAGGTTGACACCACTTCTCGTCTGGCCAAGCTGAGAAGCTTGATGAAGGAGCGCGACGTGCATGTATACAGTAATTGTTCCCTGATCCTTCTGCTCGAGTCTCATCATTGGGTGAAATCCTAACAGTCTTACTAGTCATCCCATCTGAAGACAACCACTCTTCAGAGTACATTGCTGCTTCTGATTCCCGACGTGAATACATTTCGGGCTTCACTGGATCAGCTGGTGTGGCCGTAGTCACCCCCGAATCAGCAATTCTTTCCACCGATGGCCGTTACATCATTCAGGCCACCAAACAGCTCGATGCCAACTGGAAGCTCTTCAACTCCGCCCTTCAAGATGCCCAGACTTGGCAGGATTGGTCAGCAGAGCAAGCAGCAGGTGGTAAAGTCGTTGCTGTTGATCCATCACTGCTTCCTTCTTCGTCTGCAAAGAAGCTGAGTGAAAAGATCCAAAAAGCCGGAGGTGCTGAACTACTTCCCCTTGAAGAAAATTTAGTCGACCTGGTCTGGGGTGATGAAAGGCCTGCTCGTCCGCAACAGAAAGTATTTCTCCACCCGGATGACTTTTCTGGAAGATCTTTGAAGAGCAAGCTCGACCAACTACGCCAGGAACTTGACAAGAAAAACGCAGCTGGGTTTGTGGTCTCGATGCTCGATGAGATCGCCTGGCTTTTCAACCTGCGAGGTAGCGATATTCCCTACAACCCTGTGTTTTTCTCATATGCCGTTGTTACGCCCGAGTCTGCGACACTCTATATCAACGGCCTAGAGTCCAACGATACAGTGACCGCGTACCTTGAAGAGAACAATGTACAATGGAAACCATACGATTCGATCCTTTCCGATGCCAGGTTACTTCAATCGCAAGTGAAAGAGGCCGCGGGAGCCCAAGGCCAAGCGTCTCCAAAGCACCTACTTGTATCCAACAGAGCTTCGTGGGCGCTGCACCGTGCGCTAGGAGGTGACGACCTCGTAGATGAAGTTCGAAGCCCTATCAGCGATGCCAAGGCGATAAAGAATGAGAAGGAACTTGAAGGCATGCGAGCCTGCCACATCCGAGACGGCGCTGCTTTGATTGAGTTTTTTGCTTGGCTTGAGGATCAGCTTGTGGTCAAGAAAGCAGTACTCAACGAGGTCGAGGCCGACAAAAAACTCATCTCGCTCCGAGAAAAGCAGGAGCTTTATGTCGATCTCTCCTTTCCAACTATTTCTTCCACAGGAGCCAAGTGAGTAGTATTTTTGTACTTGAAGTTTGCTGCTAATTGGCACTATATTGGACGGAAAACCAAAACAAAGCTGACAATTATATAAGTGCCGCAGTCATTCACTACAAGCCCCAGGAGGGCGATTGTTCTGTGATTGATGTAGACAAAGTTTATCTCTGTGACTCAGGGGCTCAGTATAAAGACGGCACTACTGACACGACCCGCACCCTGCACTTTGGAACCCCAACCGACGCTGAGAAGGAAGCCTACACCCTGGTTTTGAAGGGGAATATTGCTCTGGATAGAGCCGTTTTCCCCAAGGGCACCACGGGCTATTCTCTGGATACTCTGGCCAGGCAGTATTTATGGGTAAACCTTTCCCCAACTCCCGTTTTGTTGAGTGAAAATAGAACTAACACTATGTGCTATAGCAATATGGTCTTGACTACAGGCATGGAACTGGCCACGGCGTTGGTTCTTATCTTAATGTCCATGAAGGTCCCATAGGCATTGGCACACGCGCACAATACGTCGATGTCGCTCTTTCTCCAGGGAATGTGCTCTCTAATGAGCCCGGGTACTACGTCGAGAACAATTTTGGTATTCGGATCGAGAACATCATTATGGTGCGAGAGGTTGCCACAAAGTTTACCTTTGGAGATAAGCCATACCTTGGCTTTGAGCATGTCACGATGGTCCCCTATTGCCAGAGGCTTATCGACGTCAATCTGTTGACAGATGTAGAGAAGACTTGGATCAACAACTACCACGCAGAAATCCTGGAGAAGACTGGTCCATTTTTTGAGAATGACCCATTGACAACAGCATGGCTTAAGCGCGAGACACAGGCAATTGTCTAATGGGCTGGAGGTGCTCTGCGTACTCCTACAGATGAACAAATGCCGCCAGTGTAAACGTCAAAGCAAACGACGCGGTGAACCATGGGCTACCCCCCAACTTTCGCCACACTGAAGACTTGAGAAGAAACTTCTTTATTCCTAGGATCTGGGGAAGATCGATCCCGTAACGAGAAGTTACCTTGACAAACAGGTTAGATCATTCGGTCACCATTGAGTAGAAATAGAGAGAATGCAGCTCTTACGTATACGGAGACTGCTAATATACTTCCCAAGAATGCAAGGGTGCGAGAGAATATAGCAATAATCAAGCCACAGCCAAAGCCTAGAGCAAATGATGCAATTAGTTTTATTACCTGCTTTCCTCTCCCCCTTCTTTCTTCTTATGGTGGATAAAAAGTAAGCTAAGCACAAATAAATCAATCTTACCAGCCATGCTACCACTAGCGATCTGCTGAACAGCTTTTGTTGAAAGCCCAGCTCGTTGAGATTGGTGCTGCCGTGGAGACACGTCAATGGCATCTAATTGAATGGGCCTCGGTCTTAAGAGATAAACGGTGCCGATGCAGGCAGCGCTTGGGGCGATCCCGGTCGCGAATAGCCGGCCTGCTCGCCGTAGAGTGGTTGCTCGGATCATGGTAGCCATGGGTTTTCTTGTGAGGGCTTGAATGGGAAATGATAACAAGAGATAGAACTGCTGCATAGGACGTCATCGAACGGCGAATAAGTCAATTTCAGTGGGTAGCAGCAAGGTACACTAACCTAATCGGGTACCAAGCTCGCTCGTTGCAGGAGGTGTCTCCTAATTTTGAAGATCCTGGCAAGTGGGTGATACTGGAAATGGCACACCTAAGCACTCCCTTAGTATATACTTTATCTATTATCTTTTATAGCTAGCTACTGAACTGCCAAAATAAATTAATGGGAAGAGTATCAAGGGCTCAGTTTAGTATTCTCTAATCTCCGCTTAGAATAAGCTACTTATTGAGATAATTAGATATTTATTTGGGTGGTTATTTGGGTGATTATTTGGGCCTTCCTTTGGGTGTGCCATTTCCAGTATCACCCACTTGCCTGGGTGACCAGGCAGCTAGGTCCAAGGCTTTCATCATGGCTCATTACATCTTCTAGGCTCTATTGTAGGAGGTAGTAGCGAGCGGTATGTCCTAGATCCGATTATGAAAGCACGTGTGCCGTAATTATTTGATATATTTTGATATATTTCAGGGTTAGAGATACAGCTCTACACCCTCACGAGGTGATCCGAAACAAGTCAATAAAACAAAGAGCAGTGAGCCATGTCGTCCCATCCCTAACGCCAAACTTCCCAACGCTGGTATAAAAACAATATGTACTTGACTTCCCGTCGCTTGGCTGCTAGCCAGTTGTTGATTGTCGTTTGAAATCCTCCGGCTAACCCAGTCCGCCCCAGATTCCACGAATCCGCCTTGCCAGCTGGATATCCTTCTTCATCACAGTTACTCTTTTGGCGTGTATGGCGCAGAGATTTGCATCTTCAAAGAGATATACCATATATGCTTCTGCAGCTTCTTGTAGTGCTTGAAGAGCCTGGCTCTGCCAACGAAAGTCTTTCCCGGCCGGTCGATACTGAAGTCCGATTTCTCGACACTGATTCATATCATGTTAGCTAAACTAGTCTTATCGACTATGGCCTGGACATTCTAAGCAGTGGCATGTATGAACCTACCAGACGAGCGAATGGGAGTTTCTGGACAAGCAGCTTTGTGCTAGATTGGAACTTTCTGATCTCACGCAACGCAACAGTGCCCGGACGGTAGCGCCGCTTGGCTGGCACATAGACGGGATCACCCGCTACAAGGAGAATGCTGTTAGTGCTTGTTCACGTATTCCCAAGGCAAATGATGTGTTAATTCACATACCCTGAATATCCCCTGGGCGTGGCTTCCAGTTTCGTGGCGGTTTTGACGCATATTCCTTTTCTGACGGTCGCCAGTTTTTACGAGCTTTCTGAGCCGGCGATTTGGCAGCGGCAGGGCGCTTTGCGGCTTTCGAGGCGTTGGCCATCGTAAGTGCCAACCAATGCGACTAGAGATGTTTGCAATGAGAATCTGAAATATACGCGATCGGCACAATCGAGTGAAGGTCGGAGTTCAGCGTTGGATGATCGAAGATATGTCGAGGGGAACTTGAGCGAGCATGAGAATGGAAGGATTGGAAATGCAAGGGGTGAACATGCCCCGAGCCGAGATAAAGAAAGACGCGACCGGCCTTCCCAGCCCCGCGTTTTTTTTTAATTGAGTGCATGGATATTAGTGGGGCACCGCGATTCCGCCCGCCCAACCTCGTCCAGCGGTTGAGTCTGGCCAGGGATGGGATCGATTGGGAAGCCAGACTGATACAGACTGGGCGATCCGATAAGCTGCGAAGGGCAAAGTTAGGATGACCGTCAACTTCCCAGGATATGCATGTAGGTCTTATCGATACCCGGCCAACATCGAAGGAATTGCTTAGATTACGTACCTCTTCAAGCGAGGAAGTTGCTGACATAATTTCAACCTTATGGGGCAGGTAGGTGGGGATGCCCACTAGCTGAGACCGGCACCTAAAGCTGCCACGTTCACCAACCAAGTTGATTCATGCAAGCCTCGGAAGCCTTCCACACATAGCCCAAGGCCTTCGTTGTGATCATCACGTTTTCTGTCCGAACTCTATCCCACCAAGACGCTCCTTTGACCCTTATGCGATATCTGTTTTTTATATGACCACAACCCCAGAGCTAGCAGGACCTTGAGAGGCACAATGGATCAGGTCTTGGATGGCGGCCGTCTCCCGCTAGAGACTTGGTTCTGGGAGATGCCTATAGTCACACGATGGTGGACAGTGGCAACAATCTCTACCAGCGCTCTCGTCCAGTGCCATATGGTAACACCATTCCAACTCTTCTATAGCTTTCGGGCTGTTTTCGTCAAATTACAGGTTCGTTACCCCAAATGTGTTCCTGGCTGCCTTTCCTACCGCCGGCATCAATGGCTGACGCATCCCAGTACTGGAGATTGTTAACGACTTTCCTCTACTTCGGACCCTTCTCTCTTGACTTGCTATTCCACATATACTTTCTCCAAAGATATGCAAGACTCCTAGAAGAGTCTTCGGGACGGTCACCAGCGCATTTCTCGTGGCTCCTTATGTACGCCATGGCTAGCCTAATCGCGCTGTCCCCCCTCGTCTCGATGCCATTTCTAGGACACCCGCTGTCTTCGACGCTCGTATATATCTGGTCGCGTCGTAACCCTGAAACAAGATTGAGCTTTCTCGGCCTCCTCGTCTTCACGGCGCCTTACCTGCCGTGGGTTTTGATGGGGTTCAGCCTGGTCATGCACGGCACCATTCCGAGGGATGAGATAATGGGTGTGGTTATTGGTCATGTTTGGTACTTCTTCAACGATGTGTACCCCCCCCTTCACAACGACTCCAGACCACTGGATCCCCCTCGCTGGTGGAGGCGTCTGTTCGAGGGACCCCTCCCCAATGAGTCAGATAATGGAGGAAACGATGATATTCTGGTGGCTGCTCCTCGAGATGTTGCAGCACCAGAACTCGTAAATTAGATCATTAGATGTTAGGATTCCGCTGGGACTTGGGAAAAGAACAAAGGAAGGCGTCAGGTGCATTTTTATATTAGCAGGCTGCTAAACTCGCATTGGGACTTGGTATGACGGCATTAACTCAGCACGATGTAACGAAGTTTGCTTAAATTCAGCACAAAAACTCATTGATTCTTATGCTTGCTCTACATCGGTGCCAGTGTCAGGTGTGTCCAGGCGGGAAAACATTGTGGTGTATGAAAGCAAAGTTGCGTTGTAAAGCGGATGGATGCTTCTCGAGAGTTGCCGTTTGCAGACATCTCGAGCCATAGCTCGACTGTGTAATTTCTTACACGTCGGACCAGGCGATCTATTGCCGGTAGCTTATTGGCTGAATAGCTATGTGAGGTGGTTCGACGATCCTGCATTAGCATCTGATCACATCATGTTTGACGGCGTTTCTGGTACTGCTTATGATGGCGCGATTTGACTGCGCTCTGGTTGGTGGAGTTGGCCTGACGTAGTGGTGGACGGGCTATGACTGTTGAGGTCTGGAACCCCACCATCACCAGTCCCAAGCAAATAAATAGCTACCGCCTATCCGGCGCGATTATTCCTCCTGGATTACCTGACCGCGGATTCCGTTCCAGACTTGCGTGCCCTCCTGTTCCATTTACGTCGAAAATGAAAGCCTACTTGTACGACAACTTGCCGGTTCGTCCCCGACAGCGATCGAAGGCAGCCCCGCCAGCTAGCTAACTACCTTACTACACAGGGCGACCAGCGCCTCGCCCACGACTCTGGGCGCTCCGTCGATGTCGAAACATTGAAGAAGCTTGGAGTCCTGTACTTTCATTTGGATACCATTGAGAAAGTCAACGATCTTGCTATCGAGCGAGGCTACAAGAATCGCGACGAGATCAAAGTCTCGCCTGAGACCATGGGTGAAGCATACGAAACCAAGGTCAAGTCGTTCTTCTCTGAACACCTGCATGAGGACGAGGAGATTCGATATATTCGAGGGGGGCAGGGCTACTTTGATGTCCGTAGCCACGACGATGAATGGGTGCGAGTCCAGTTGGAGAAGGATGATTTACTTATTCTCCCGGCCGGAATCTATCACCGATTCACTACAGACGAGTCCAATGTAAGCTGCGACGACTCCCCAGGTTCTAGACGCAATAAGCTTTGCGAGGATGCCACGATACTAACGAGCCAACATAGTATGTCCACGCTCTTAGACTGTTCAAGGACGAACCCAAGTGGACGCCCCTCAACCGATCCGGCGAATTAGATGCGAACCCACATCGCAAGGATTATGTGAACAGCTACCTTTCATAGGCAATACAGACTTGCAGCTGCATGAATTTCGGGTCATCTGTTCCTGCTGTGCCTAGCCTGTCATAGAGAGCCCTACTACCTATCCCATACATCTTCAATCCAACCCTAGGTATTAGAACTCCCCTAGGCATGGGTTCTTGTCTTTGCGTGCAGCTAACGTGTAATCCTAAAAGTCGCTCTACACATTGCATTTGACAAGCATGGTGTGACACGAATAGGTGGACCCTGTTGATTCTCTGTTTCGTAGGTTGCAGCTTCATTTCCCACTGGCATGTTGAGATGTGTCTCAAAGGAAAGGAAAGAGCCTTCCTGAAACGTGATTCAACAATCTAAGTTGTGCCTCGGATGAAATCCTGTCCAAGGTACCGAAACCAGCGTCGACGAACCAATTGCATGGGCATTATGACTAAGCGGGGCAATATAATTCCCTGCCGGCTGCGCCCTGGTATACGTAGTATCTCAGGGGTGTAGCCGCGTTGCTCAAAGCTGGCATCCTTTTTTAACGGCGAAGCCAACAACCGTTTACAAGGACATTGGTCGAGTTCCCTCTAGTCGCTCGTTAGCAATTTCGCTCGTAACATACCCCTCGTCTACTTGTTTGCGAACTTCTACTTGTCGGCTTCGCCAAGGCTTTTTTCGACCACCTCGATAACTTCGACCGATCGGCGATCCTGACCGATAATTTGGTTTCTTTTATTCATTGAGCCTGCGATCAACAGCCACCATGTCGGACAAGAAG